ATATATATATATATATATATATATATATATATATGTATATATATATGTTTATGTGGAATGTGTTTTTTGTGTAACAGACCTTTTTATCCAATGCTACTTTCTCCCAAGGGAGGCTAGTAAAGGCACTTTGAACTTTAAGCAGAATTTTGTATTTATCAAAGTCTGTGTAAATAACTGAGTAATATGAAATTGATAATATAAATGTTGTGGAAAAAGTGGTTCACAGTGGTCCACTCCAACTTATTTGAACTATTGCATTAAGTACCACCAAATAACATTAACAACATTAAGACAGGTCTGAACAAACTGGTCTAACAGTGACTGATGGTGCTTAAATCTACTGGCCAGCTGTCTCCTGAGTTGTTGTGTGCAAGACTGGCGCAGTAAACATAGCAGTTATTGTTCGTGGGTTCTGCTCTGCTGCCGGTACCTCATCCACTCATTATAGCTGTGCCCTTTCCAGATGGCTCTTGTCTTGCTGGCTCTCTATTGAATTGTCTGTTTAGACTCCTTGGTAAGACGTTGTTTGGTCATTTTTATGTCTCCATTCTGAAGCTTAAACAAGCCTAATTCAATGCAGGTCTCTTTTCTGATGGACTAGTGATAGTCACAGGAGATAAAATTACATTTTGTGTCTGACCTGATGATCTTGTGAGCATGATAAAATGAGAATGTGACTCCTCAGCAAAGCATCCTTGCTTGAGAGCAGCACTAATGAGGTATTGGCTGCCTTGGAGTGTTTGCACAAGGGTTCTGGTGAAAATGTTTTTTCACACTACTGTAAGATCAGGGATTACAGTAATACATCTCCCTCAATATTTGTCTTGAGTTTTCTCCAGTACTTTCTTATAAAAGTAACTCATGCCGGAAACACTACTGTGACTGTTGTAATGAACATAGATAAATCTATAAATGATTTTCATTTACCAGTATTCTCCAATTGAGATGGACTTCTGTGAAATTGCTTGCATCAGTTTTTCTTTACCGTGCACGGGAAATATTGAACATTCAGTGCAGCCTGGGTGGCCTGCTGTGTTGTCAGTCTGGGGTCGCTAGCTGCTCGCCTTGAAGAGAGCAACTGTAAAAAAGGGAGTGATGATGAAAACTCTGTGGGGCTTCTCATACAGAAAGTTCATGCCGCGTCATTACCTCCTCTCCTTTGTGCTCCTCTTTTTGTCTGCGTGTGTGAAAAACCTCTGTTCAGGTGTGTATCTGTTAGAGAGGCACTCTCAGCTATGACCGAGGCACCGTCACAAGCGGGCCCATTCACTACTTCATCATTGCAACAAAATGTACTTTTCAGACTTCCTCTGCTGTGGCTCAAAAGGAGCCTGTGCACAGGCTGAATTCTGACTCAAAGAAAATCTTTGTTCTCACATGTGACAGGGTTCTGAACCATGCCAGGGTGAAGATTTGAACTTTTGCCTTTATTTCTGCCACACAGAGGCACAAGTATTTAATTTCTGTACAGAAAGTTGCTCTTAGAACAGTAAAAAGAGGCAGAAATAGTCATCCATATAATTATTGTTACCCTTTCTGTATGATGTTTGCTCCTATATTTAAAGACCTGAATGAACCCATGAATTGTCATGCTGGAGTTTTAATTCAGAACGGTCGCCTCAGCCATTCACCACTGGCACAACTCATGAAATGTGCTGATGCTCAAAGAACGTGTTGAGGATGACTCTCAGCTACAACCACATACAAAGTACATGTTACATCATTATCAGTAATTATGGGTAAGTTGTGACCGTTTTGTGTCAACAAAAGTCAATTAGCTGTAGCAGCCATCTTGAATTTGCTTGACTCTAAATGTGCATCAGTTGTACATAAACAGCCAATGATGACTTTTGAGAGTTTTTAAAATCCGTTCAATAAAGATGCTTTTGCTAAAATTATTTGTTAAAACAAGTTTTAGGAATAGATCTTGAGCGAAGTTTAGTGCTCAGAGTATGTTTTGGGTATGAGTCTCAGCTACTACCACACCAGCATTTAACACATTTTGTGTAAAATTGAGTCAGAGACAGTTTTGTGTTTTGTAAGGTCAACTGCCTGTGGTTGTAGAAGTTTGGCGCAATCAATTAAAAATAATATATTTTTTGGTTAAAAATGCAATTGCAGTACTGTACTTTAGCTTAAAGATTTTTGTTTATTCACCAAAGTTCATGCTCAATAATCCAGATACAAATCCAGCAATGTTCAGTCATGGATTTGTACCTGGATTACTGAGCATGAACTTTGATGTTTTGAACTATGTTGGCATGGCTGCCTCAGAGGAGTTGACGGGAGAGAGGGTGGGCCCCAGAAACCATCTTATCACCAGCAAATTTATTTTTTCTGCTAAGGGAGTGTGATATTTGTGGGAGTCCAGTTTGTTTTGTGGCTCCTTGGACTGAAGAAGTCCTTTGGATGAAGGGCAAAATTTCTCAGCAAAAAAAAACCTTCAGATGACCTGACTGAACATTGTTGGATTTCTGTTTATTGTGATTTTCCCCACAAAAACATCAAATTATAATTTCAGATCAGTAATAAAATGATAAAGAATGATAAAGAAACCTATAGGTGAAAGTCTAAAAAAGTTAAATCTGGTCCTCTGGACATTAAAAAAAAAAACCAAAACAAAGCAAATCAACAAAAAAATGTAGAAACGTTTCGTCTCTCATCCGAGAGACTTCCTCAGTCTGAGGTGCTGTTTTCAGCTCAGTCTCTTAAATAGTACCGTCTCAGAGTGGATCAACCAGTTTTGCTGCTGACAACCAAAACCAGCTGATCACATGCTCAAGAAGGACCATCAACCTAACAATGGATCATTAGCACACTGATGGCTGTTTACTGTTCACAGAGGGCTGAGTGATACTAGCAATCACAGCATTGTAAGAGGGGGACAGTTGAACCCGGAGGCCTCCACCCCTGTTTAATGAAGGACGATTTCTTTTCACAAAGATGGCCTCCTTTACTCCTCTCTCAAACCATCGTTCCTCTCTATCCAGGATGTGAACATCTTCATCCCTGAAAGAGTGACCGCTGGCCTGGAGATGAGTGTAGACACAGAGTCCTGGCCTGATGATGTTGATCTTCTGTGCTGGGCCATCCTTTTGGCCAGTGGCTGTTTAGTTTCCCCGATGTAAGACTGATCACAGCCCTCCTGACACTGAACAGCATACACAACATTGCTCTGTTTGTGCCGGGGGACTGGATCTTTGGGATGAACCAGTCTTTGCCGTAATGTATTTTGGGGTTTAAAAGCCACTGGGACGTTATGTTTAGAAAATAAACGTCTCAGTTTCTCTGATACTCCCTCAACATATGGAATGACCACTGGTCTGGGTCTGGGTTCCTCCTTTTCACCTGTTGGCTGACTGGAGTCCTGTTTGGGTTTCTTCTCTGCTTTCAGGAAGGCCCAGTTAGGATATCCACATTGCTCTAGAGCCTGTCTTGTGTGGGATTTCTCCTTCTGCCTGGCTCCTGAGCTAGTGGGGACGCTGTCTGCTCTGTGGTACAGAGTCCTGATGACTCCTAACTTGTGCCAAGTTTGGTTGTCAGCAGCAAAACTGGTTGATCCACTCTGAGACGGTGCTATTTAAGAGACTGAGCTGAATACAGCACCTCAGACTGAGGAAGTCTCTCGGATGAGAGACGAAACGTTTCTACATTTTTTTGTTGATTTGCTTTGTTTTGGGGGTTTTTTATGTCCAGAGGACCAGATTTAACTTTTTTAGATTTTTCTACCTGGATTATTGAGCATGCATCAGGCTATAGGTGAAAGGTTTGTCGTTTCCATCTCTCTGTTGAAGCCAAAGTCAAGGACGAGGTTAAAATAAACCTTTTGCAGTATCTGTCTCTTTTTTTTTTTCCCCATGAATCCCAGAATACCAGAATTGATTTCAGTCTAATGGCTGCATGATAAACACCCACATATTTGTTTCACAGTGAAGTCTTGTGGAGAAGAGTGAAAGCTGCAAGAAGAGCATTTATATGCATCCTGTTATTCTTGTTGATTATATACAGTTGACATTTTTATTCTGCTTAAATACATTTTTTAAATTGGGTCAGTTAATTCTAATATAACTATTTTATTATCTGAGCAATTAAAGAAAATAATAAGCTGCTGAAGCATGTTTACTACAAATGCCTGTTTAGTTTGACAGGAAAAAACATCCCCAAGGAGATGATTGAGATGATTTTCTCTGAGGCTTCTAGTGCTATAATTCACCTCTGAGAGTCCCTCGTCATACTTTCAACCCTGATTGCTTCACAGAGCGATGTTTTAATAATGATCTGTGAATATACACCAAAACACAGACCCATTATAAAGGATATTAATCAATAAAAAAGGACTCTGACATTCAAGTCATGCTCTCTATTTTTTGTTTGTTTTCCAGGTGTGTAGGTTGGTGAGGCCGTTCAACCACCCAACAAGATGGTGGCCTTGTCGCTAAAGATCTGTGTACGTCAGTGCAACGTGGTGAAGACCATGCAGTTCGAGCCGTCCACCCCTGTGTATGATGCCTGCAGGATCATCAGAGAGCGAGTTCCAGAGACACAAAGCGGACAAGGTTAGACAATGACTCGTCAATCTAATTTACATGGTGGAAAAGCATAGGCACCAACATTTGCATGCTCTGTGTTTCAGCGTCAGATTATGGCCTGTTCCTATCCGACGAGGACCCCAGGAAAGGAATCTGGCTTGAGTCTGGAAGAACCCTGGATTACTACATGCTGCGAAATGGAGTAAGATTAAATCACACCGTCCAGTGTGGAGACCTGTCAGTGTTGCTTATCATTCCCCGAAGTGATTTATATTATCTAGTGGAAACTGAAATATTTATGCCTCCCTGCCTGCTGGAAGCAAATGTACTTTACAGCTAAGAGAGATTAGCAGGAGCTGTTGGTGTCATCTTGATTACTGTCCTGTTTTTGTAGGACGTTTTGGAATATAAGAAGAAACAAAGGCCACAAAAGATCAAAATGCTGGATGGTACCATTAAAACCATCATGGTTGACGACTCAAAAACAGTCGGCGAGCTACTTGTCACTATATGCAGTAGAATAGGTGAGTGTCTTTGCTAAAGCATCATTTTTTCATCTCTGGTTTTGTTTTATTTCTTGGCTTCATATCAAATTGCAGTTTGTTTTGAATGTTATTATGAGCTCGTGTATTTGTATTTGGAGAGCAACATTTATGAAGCACGTAAAGCATTTATTTATGCTTGTTACAATTCAAATTAGGCTTCATTTGAAGTACAACGGACATGATTTATCAAGTCTAAAGAAGCCATTTTCAATGCCAAAGTGTTCTTCTGAAGGTCCAAACGTAAAGAGGGGTCCCCTAAGCTGAGTTTTTCAATTCTAATAGGATGCTACTAAGCCTAATTAGGTGAGGAAAAGAGGGATGTGTATGTGGCAGATATATATTCTTGGAAAGTGGTTATTTAGATGAGAGCTTTCTGCTTAGCTTATTTCTCTTGCCTCCAGTTATATAGTCTTCTGGCATTCTACCAACTTTTGTTCTTTTTTGTTTCGGAGCAACAAAATAGATATAAAGAGTGCAAGTAAATTTGTATTTTTATCTTGGTTGTAGTTGTTAATGTCTGAAGCATCATGTCTTCTGGGAATTCCTGGGCTAACTTTTTAGGAATTACCAACTACGAGGAGTACTCCCTCATCCAAGAAGTGACGGATGACAAGAAGGAGGATAGTACTGGGACGTTAAAGAAAGACAGAACCCTACTGCTACGAGACGAGAGGAAAATGGAAAAGCTCAAAGCCAAGCTTCATACAGATGATGACTGTAAGTGTGACATTGATTCTCACACTTTGCAAGAAACCGAGGACAAAAAAAATGACCATATTTTAGAGATATCTTAAGATAAACACAAGTGTTGTTACAACAGCAGACTCTTGGATGTGTTTTTAATAAAATAAATGTATTCCTTACAGTCTGTGTGTAATGTTTAAGTATTAACTCATTAACTACTCAATATCAGCACTCAGTATCGGCAAGTACCCACATTGAAGTAATGGTAATTGTACTTGATCTAAAAAAAACGACAAAAAAAACCCATATTGGAACACCAGTACTAGATACAATACAACAAAGTATTTAATTTACTGCATTGTATGATATATCTTATATTGTGTCATACTGCAACCTATCATATAATATTTCATATTGTATTCCATTGCATTGTCTTGTAACATTTTGCATTATAGTGTATTGCATCACACAGTATTGTATTGGACAATATCAGAATATGTGTTTCATTCCTTTATTCTTTATATGTATGTATTCTATAAATTCTAAAATTAAATCTAAAATAAATTATGTATATTTATTGGATGGCAAGTAGAGTATTTTGCCAAGACAAACTAAATTTATTTAACCATTTAAATTTAATTGGCACACCAATAAAATATTAAATATCATCCGCCCTTTAATTTTTGCAGAGGATGGGCCTTCTCTCAGCAGAAAATAATACTATTCTGCTTTGCTAACGTCTTTGAAAAACGAGCCTGTAGGCGTCTTTGTGCACGTGCTAACAGAGTGTTTGTATCGACTGGGCAGTGAACTGGTTGGATCACAGCAGGACCTTCAGGGAGCAGGGAGTGGAGGAAAGTGAGACCCTGCTGCTCAGGCGCAAGTTCTTCTATTCAGACCAGAATGTGGACTCGCGGGACCCCGTTCAACTAAACCTGCTTTATGTTCAGGTAAACTCCCCACACACACCTTCATACCTGCAGAGCAATGGATGAATGAATAAATGATGAAAGGGGAAGTACAACACACTCTAAAAATAAAAATCTTCTAAATGTTTTTTCTTCCATCTTTGATTTTAAAACGACCTGCATTTGTTCTACGCAGACAGGTTTTATTTTTATCTCAGTTTAAATTAGCTGTAAAATCTTAAAAAAAATATTTTTTTTTTTTTTAGATTTAGTGTCTTTTAGTGATAAGATGCATGATGAAATCTCCCTGTAATGAATGGGTTCTGCCCTCAGTTGTTGCGATTGTATAAACAATAAGGGTGAATAAATCAAGTAATTTAAGTATTATTGATTTCTTATCAGATACAGTTCAATTAGAGTTGATCAATAAATTAAACTTGGTGCCCTTTTTAGGAGTGTCCCCCTTTACCTCATCCTATTGCAAAATCACCCCAACTCTTTTGAACATTAGCCTCTTATAAAGTTAAGTAATACACAAACATGGATCCATTATAAATCCCAGGAGAAATGGAGCTGGCATATGATGAGAAATAACAATGTTGGTGTGAGTGGAATACCAATTAACATGCTTGCTGCTGCAATACCCAACATTTGTGTCAGTGGTGCGCCTAAGAGCAAACTGGTTTCTATAAAATATAAAACTGTGCCTAAAAGATTAATCATAACCAGTTAGTCAAGACCAAACTACAGATGAGAGAGACTGACTGGTGCTTGGATACTGTAATTCTGCTGTACTCTATTTTGTTGGTAAAAAGAAAATGGCATGATTCTTATTGTTACAGTGCTTCACATGTTTGGAATTATGGCAGACATAACCAATTTCTAGACAACAGTGTCATAAGCATTAATGCAGTAGGTATTTGTATTAGATGTACTCCACACAGGTTTGATTTAATTCTTATATCCATATTTCTTAGTATAATGATATAATAAGCTTATTTTTAAATATGAATGCTTCTGTTCAGGGCCCTGAGATGACTTCTGTTGTGACTTGGTGCTATATAAATAAACTGAATTGAATTGAATTGAAACACACCTTCAGAAGTCTTGAGCTTTAGTACTAGAAATAAAACCATTGTCATGTATTGCTGGTCATTTACAGAAAAAGTAAATAATGGCATTAGCATAAACCTTGTAGTTATATGAAGACCTTCACCAGGCAGTCACTATTTTTTTTTGTTTTGTTTTCTGTTATTTGTTTTTGACTATTTAGTGAAAACTTCGAGAGTGATAAAACCAAAAGTATACGTTGGCGGAACCTGAAAGATTTTATAGAATGAAAATGCAGTGTACGAAAATTCAAACACGGGTGAAGACTGTCCACAAGAGACTAATTTCATTTGGAATATATTAAAGGAATCACATTATAGCAATCTGCAAGTTTTAGAATGGAGATTTTTGTGTCTGCTTAAACAGTTTTATGTTTTAATGTACACAGGAGGCAGCACGTTCTAGCTGTATGCTGATCTCTGCCAAGTCTCCTAAAGTTTCTTTGAAGGAGAACAAACCAAGAAATCCTTTATTAGTCTACCATATTGATTTGTGCAGCTTTTAATTCCTCTATTATTATTATAGTGAAATCTCTCTCGAAGGGTTTACAGCAATTCAATAAAACCACAGACCTCTCTCGAAGACAAAATAGGCGAGAACGCTGATTCATCTGACCTCCTCGTGAGAAGCTTGTCAGCAGAGTCTGGTAGTTTTTTGTCTTTTTTTTTATTTCATAAATCTTAACAATTATTCCTCCAGCCAAACAAAGGACATTTCCTCATCATCACCTAATATTAAAACATCTTGATCCTTTTTAAGCACAGTAAGTTATTGAAGACATGCTAATTACATACATTTGCCAATAGAGTAGAGCATGCAAGAGTCACTTGTCAGGCACTTGTTTTGAACACACGTTGGCTCAGTTGGACATCACATGGACCATGTAGGGAGCTAACATCATTTATTGTGTGGCTGGGGAGAGCGAGGTCTGTTCCCAAGGTCTTTGGACCTGTTGCCTCCAAGACCCAACCTTGATGAAAAAGGGGATGGATGATTTGGATGTGTGTGTTTTCATGAGCACCATCCAGGAGTAATATCAGGGTCAGGGTGAGTTTAAACTGCTTAACAGGTGTAGTATATGAGATAGGGTGGTGCATAATGAGGAGTCGTTGCACTGACAAAAGGAGCCTGCAACACGTTTGAAAAATAATTAGCTAAAGATGATTGCAAGCACTACCACATAAAAATACACAATCTAAAAAAAACAGCACTCGGAGATATACTGCCTATTAAGTGGGGAATAAATATGCTCAAAAAAGACACTGAGCCATCCCCCTCTCTTTGCTATTAATGCTCTCCTCCCTTCCATCTCTCTGTTTTTCCCACTCTCTGTTTTCCATCCCGTTCAGTTTTGCCGTCTCACTCCCTCCCCATCTCTCACACATTCTGACACAGTTGCACACATCCCCACCCTCCTATCCTGGCACACATTACAGCACTGTGCATATCATGCTCCCTGCTTTCAACACAGACTCATATTTCCTTTCGTAACAGCTCCGCCCCCTGCCCTCTTGTCCCCCCCCCCCCCCCCACCCCCACCCCCACCCCCCCCCCACCAACCGTCTATCTTTTCCCTGGTTCTGTTTAAACCCGTTTAACACAGTGACAAATTAGAGCCGCTGCCATGTGAAGAGTCTCTGTGATCTGTGTAACAATTCGACTGTGTGTGAGAGACAGAACCAGGGAAAAGATAGACTGTATGTGTGTGTGTGTGTGTGTGGTGGTTGGGGGGGGGGGGGG